GGACTTCAGCTGGGCCCTGCTGCCCCAGTGTGTCCCAAGGCAAACTCAGAGCTGACACAGAGAAAAAGTTCCTCATGCTGCTGCAACAGTGACTGCTCAGGCTGCACTTGTGACTGAAAGTTGTAGATACGCATTTCTACCTCTCCTTCCAAAGTGATACTAACCATAGCCAGGAGAGTAAAACCAGCCCCATTTTCATCATGCCATAGTCCAAGAATTGCAGTCTCTGCTCCTTGAACACCACAGGGCTTCTCCCTGCCTATCTCCTTCCTAAGCAGGGGTGTCTCATAGCTGGAGGAGCTTTGTCTCAGCTGAAACTCCACGTTCAAGTCTGTGTCCCTGCCCCAGCAGAGGCAGGAGAGCTGCAGTAATGAAGTCATCCTTGGCAGAGTTGGTTCTGCTCTCCCTCTCTCTTCTGAAGTCTTTTCTTCCACCTCCATGCCCGGAGGTGTTGATTTTCTCTCCTATTTGCTTGTTGTGCTTTAGAGATCTGCCCTGCTTTGATGCTGGTGTGGGAAGGGATTTTGTGTGTTCAGGACTGGCTTTTATTTTCTGTCTCGCTGGGCCGAGGGAGCAGGTGGGGAGGGCAGCCCTTGCCAGCCCCACCTCAAACCGTGGAATGGGAGCACCTGAAGCTATGTTTTAGTTGGATTGCTGCTGCACTGTCTTGTTTAGGGGAGTTATGCACTGAGATGAACAAAAAATGAAAGCAAGAGTCTTCCTTGCCAAGGCTTTGGGCCATGCCAGGGCTTTGCTGATGACAGCTCCAGCAGTGAGGGAGGTGGTGGCTGCAGCCAACAGCTGCATGAGCTCCTTTCCAGCTCTTCTCCATTGCAGGGGAGAAATCAGCTCCTGTGAAGCCCCTCAAACAGGTGGGCTTTGTAATTTGCCCAGAGAGTCATCAAAGGGTACAAGCTGCTCATTCTGGGGGAATGGTGTGAGCCCAGGAGAGCCCAGAGTTGGTACCTGCAGGGAATCACAGGATGGGTGAGGCTGGGAGGGACTGCAGTGGCCCAGTCTCCCTGCTCAAGCAGTTTTTCCTGGAGCACTTGGCACAGGGTTGTGTCCAGACAGTTCTGGAATATCTCCAGAGTGGGAATGAGAAATATAGATCTTCTCAGCAGGCCTCCACAAGACTCTCTGATGTTAAATGTTCAGATAAATAAATTGCTGGGGAGGCTCAAGACTGCCTGAAAGGGCAATAAAGTTCCACCAAAGTCTCCTCTTCCCTTTGGGAGGAACATTTACCTCACCACATTCCTGCAGGAGAAGTTTTTCACCTCTGAGCCTTGCACTGCTGTTCCTCTGACTGTTTATATTCCACTTCCTTCCTTTTGTTCTAAGCGAGAACCATGGACACCAATGACTTCCAATAGTTGGTCTTTGTTTATTTGAAGTTTTTTCTTTGGCTGGGGCTTGTGCTCCATGTTGCTGGTAAACAGCAGAGCTCTGAAAAAGGTTTTGCATGGAAGACATCAGTGTGTGCTCAGCCTCTGGCAGGTGGGTGAGGAGCTGAGGGACCCCTGGGACGCCCTGCTGTCCCCAAATGGGTGACAGGATTGTCCCCCAGGCTGAGGCTGTATCCTGGATCCTTTACTGATGTTTCCCTCTGGTGTTCCCACTTCCCTCTTGCTGCCAGTCTGTCCCAGAGGCAAATGTTCATCGAGGATGTTCATCAGAGTGATTTTCCTTTAGGAACATGTTCATGACAAGGAACATCTACTCGAAAACAGGGGGCATGTGTAGATAATACTGCCTTGGGAGAAAAGCTGATGGAGAAAATATGGCAGGATTTCATCTGGCATTTTTAATTGAACAGGGAATTACATTAAGCATCATTTAGTGCAATAAATTAAATGTACATTAATAATACATTATTACATATTCCTTTTATTCAAGCCACATAGCAGGATATTGTCACTACAGTGTACAGGGCAGTGATGGTATTAAGTGTTTTATTTTTCTTTTAGTAATGCGTGTTGTTACAGAATTTAAAAAGGAGATGGATGTGCTCCAACCAGCAGGATTTTGGCTGTAACTGTGCAATAAAGACCTAGAAAAAACCCCAAAGCTATCTCCAGGCATGCTGTGGTGGCAGGACAGAAAGAAGAAAGGCTCTGTTGCAAGCTGGCATGGCATTAAAAAAGAGAAGAAAATAATTAACCCTGCAATCACTTGTAATTATCAGTAATTGGCACTCGGACTGGTAGTCAGCAGAGAGAGCAATAATTTCATGTGAACTATAAAACGACATGTTTTTCCTCCTAGGGCAAAAATTTCTAGGCCACATTGCCACCGCAGAATCGCTGATTTATAAATGCGAGATTCATCACAGATGTGGCTGTGAGCTGTGGTGGAGCCATCTGCACTGAAATCTGCTCACCCTGCCTCTGAAGTCCCTGCTCTCTGTTCTTAAAAACAGCAAATTTGTGTGACAAAAGCCTGATCCAGCAGGCAGGGAGAGCAAGGTATGGATCCAAGGCAAGAACTTGAGTTCACCTGGTGTTCTTCCCTGGTGGAAGTAATTTGGAGAAGTTGCCTGAAAGATAACTCATTAAACAACCTTTTAATTTTTTTTTTTTAATCCAAGATGAAGTTAAAACCTTTTATATTCTCATAAGTATTTACAGAAAAATTCTAATACCTCTCTGATTTTTTGCCCTAAAAATTTGGTGGTGAACTTGCCTTTGTATTGGAAAATGTGCCTTTATCAGCCCTGCAAATGTAAAAGCAGCCCAATTACACCTCTGGGAAAACTCATGTTCTGTGGGCTTGGGCTCTTTTAGGTGCTGGGGGGATGTGTTTCAAAAAAAAAAGGTGCAAAATTGGTATCTTGAGCTCTTCTGGCAGCACCCAGAGGGAGCAACTGGGCTTCTCTCACAGCTGGAAAGGCAGAAGGGAGCTGGTTCCTCCTTGCTGCTCAATGCTGCAGGGATGAAGGGCAGGCAGAGGGTGTCAGGAAGCCCTGGGGCTGTCAGGGTCTGCAGGTGACACCAGAGATCCTTTACAGGGGGCAACATAAACGTTCTCCAGCTCAGATGGAGAAAGGAGGACACCTGGAAAGTCAGGACACCGAGTATTGTGGAAGGTGGGTGCTCATGAGCTTTTCTGGTTGGCTTCAGGATTCCTGTTAGGGATCCATCACTAAAATAACTGGGTTTTTTATCACAATGCTTCTTGAAGCCTAAATTGGCTTTTTCAACTGCAGTGGCAGCATCGCTTACCTCGAAGAGGGAAATTGCAGCAGTGGGAGGTGGGGTGGGGCTGGTGGGAGCTGCTGGTGGACAGGGCCAGGTGAGGTGACCAGACACATCTGTGAGCATCAGCACAAGCTCCCCTCCCATCTTAGGAACTGAAGCCCAGTTTTAATTCATCTGCAGTGTTCAACATCTGCTGCAGCTGTGGCTCCTGAGGCAGAGCAGGGCCCTCTGCCTTCAGCCCCTTCGTGGGAAGGATCTGCTCTTCACCAGCAGCTCAAGCATCAGCACTCACAGCCTGGTCCTGCTCTGCCTTTATTTTATCCCATGTCCCAGCTCTCATGTTGCAGTCACTGTCTTGATATGTTAAAAAAAAAAAAAAAAAAAAACTAACAACAAACCTCCTTCATTTTCAGAACCTTTATTGAGCTCTAGGAAATCTCATCTCCAAAAGGACTGGAGTTGCCAAGTTATGTGTTGGGAAACTCAGAAATACCAGATTTAAACTGCCCGGGCCATCTTCCCCTGCACCCCAGCCTGTTTCCCATTTGCTGTAGTTTTTAATGGCACAGGCACATCCTCCTTTATCCTGGGGCTAAGGCAGTTTGCATATATTAACTTGAGCTTCCTAATTTCTTGTAGTGAAAGGAATTCTGCTCCTCATCTTTCAATCAGTTCAGGAGAGCAGCAGCCTCTGAAATGCCACATTGAGAACAAGGAGGGCAAAATTGCCCTGCTCATAGGCAGGAAATGTGCCATTTTCCCATCTGGCTGTTGCTATTGTTTGCGTTGAAGCTCAGGGGATGCAGTTTTCCTTGTGAAGATCTATCAGGGGCCAAAATCCAGCTTTTGCCATTGCATCTGCTCCAGGACGTATGTGCTCTGCTCTGTGGAAACTCTGAGTGGTTCTGAGCCGTGGCCAACCCCAGACTCTAAACCAAAAGGGTGTTGTGGACAGCAAAACAGCCTCACCTGAACTCTAAACCCTCCCCTGCTGTTCTTTGGACTGGGGAAGGGATTTTGGATCCAGCTCAGCAGAAGGGCTGGAATCAGCTGTGGGATTGCTGCTCACTGGGCCATGGTGGGATGCAGGTGTGGGTGGGAATCATTCATGGTGCTACAAGGGGTTGCACTGACTCTTGAGGCAGATTTACTGTAGGTGAGGAGTGCTTTGCTGTGCCCATGCCCTGGATAAAGCAGGATGCCGATCCATTCTCTCTGCATGCAAAGCACCGAGGCTGGGCTCGGCATCTGCGGGCTGCCGGGGCAGGAATTTCCCTGGCATTCCAGCAAGGAGTCACCTGAGTTCTGAAGGTGACACCTCCCAGTCGTGCCAGGGGGAAACTGGGAGGAGAAACCCCTGCCCCGGGAGGTCGGGGAGCTCCCTCAGTCTGCCCTGAGCAGGCAGACGAAGGCGAGCAGCCCCTCCGGGCTCCTTCCCACCGCCGCTCAGCCCTTTTCCTGTGGGATGGTTCTTCCTTGGGATGGTGGGAGGGTCCGGAGGGCTGTGCCTGCCCGGCCAGGTGTGCGAGGGAGCGGTGAATGCCAGCCCTGCGTCATTCCCAGCCCTCCCAGCTGGGATAAAACTTCTCCTCACCTGGGATCCCATCTCACTGATCGCAGCTCCCACCTTTCCTCCCTGCCAGCCCCTCGGGAGGGCGAGGCGGCAGCGCGGGCATTGAGAACAAAGTGGATTTTTGACTAAGGGGACGGGGAGCCGCAGGGAGTTATGTGGGATCGCGGGCTGGCTGCACTCCCCGCCGGACCGGGACTTGACATTTAACCGGAAAAAAAAAAAAAAAAAAAAAAAGAGAGGAAAAAAAAAAAAAAAAAAAAAAAAAAGGAAATAAAAGCCCAAAGCTGGAAATCAAGTCGCACGCAGCACGTTCCCCCTGTGCCTTCGGAAGAATTTCTTGGCTTGGTGTGTGCGTGCCTGTTATTCGGCAGAGGATTTGGACTCTGAGTCAGACCCAGCGCTAATGAGGTTTGTGGAATTAATTCATCTGTGCTCTGCAGCTCTCGCTTGAACTGTGCTGCGTGGATGAAGCGGGCAGTGAATTAACGCGCGGGCAGGTGGGCAGGACACGGAGCGCGGGGCTCGCTCCTGCCCGCCTGTTCCCTCTGGTTTTCCCTGGATTTTTGGCTGTCGGACACCGTCCGGTGCCTCTGGGCTGCCTGGGAAAAGCCACCCTCGTCAGCGGGCAGGGCTTTGGGGGCTGCACGGGTCCGGGTTTGTGTCCGCGGGTATTTGGGTGGGGGTCCCGGAGCGGTGCGGGGGTGCCGCGGGGGGAACGACAGAGCAGAGCCCTTTGGGGACAGTGCTGGAGTTCCAGGGTTTGCCCAGTCCCGGGGGAAAGGCTGTGGTGCCTCGGGGCTGGCACCCAGGGAAAGCTTTCAGGGGTGGAAGTGTGCGAGGCCAGGCGGGCTGTGGGGGTCTCCGACCCGCGGCACCCACCGGGGCTGTTTTCCCTGCCAGGGAAGGGAGGTTCCCGGAGGGAAAGGCCGGGAGAGAGTGGGAGGTTCAGGGTGGGCTTTGCTGAGCTGCAGGTGTTGGGGGTATTTGCAAATTGGTGAATCTGAAACGGACGGGAGGGTTGGTATGAGGGGGCTGACTGGGTGCGTGGGGGAAAGGGGGATGAGGAGCACCCAGGGAAGGGAAGAAGTGTCTTGTGGGGCCAAAGGAGCACAGAAGTGGCAGGAAGAGCACATGGAGGGTTCTGGGGCTGTGCTGGTGTTTGGGCAGGCTCCAGGCACGGTCCTGCCGTTCCTGCCTCTGCTCCTTGAGGTTCCCCCCTGCCCGAGCTCTGGAGCAGCAGGAGGAGATGGTGGCACAGCCCCCAGCCCTTCACGGCATGGGGGGTGTTGGCCACCAAGCAGCTCCATGTGGGTGCCCAGGCTGGGCCCTGCTGTGTTTTGTCCCTGGCTGGAGGGTGCTGAGGGCAATGTCTGGGGTCTGGAACTCAACCTGGGAGCTGAAAACAGCAAATGGAAACACTCACATGGAGTTGCCCCAGCTGCAGGAGCACACCTGAGGAAGGAGGGGGAATGGATGGGGAAGGCAAACAAAACAAGAGTAGGATTTTGTGTGTAAGATATTATTTGATTTGTGGGTTGAGTTTTGGTAGTTTGGGGGAGTTTGGCTTGATAATTTCCAAGTTCTGGAGCATGGTCCCAGCAGCTCTGTGCCACCACATGTGCAGGGGAGAGAACATGAGCTGTGTCCCTGATCCCCTGGGCTGTGGCTACACTGCCCATCCTCAGCACACACAGACACGTGGAAGGTCCTTGATGCCATGGACCAGGGCCAGTCCCCACACAGCCCCCGTGGCTGCAGCCGTGCAAAGAGAAATTCCCACCCAAGAGAGGAAAGGCTGTGCTTGGGAACTTGCTTTGAGCATCTCCCTCACTTTCCTGCTCCCACCTCCCAACCTGCCGGTTCTCCCACGTAGCAGCTGGGACCAGGCTCCTGCTGTTGCTCATCACAACCTGCTCCTTGCTCCCTCTCCCCCATCTGCCCTTCCAACCCTGTTCTCTGTCCCATTGCACCAGTTGGAGCATTGCCTGAGTTTTTGGGGATGAGGTGGCTAGCCCCAGCTTCTCCAGACTCAGGGCTCTTGGCATATTCCTGGAGCAGGTTTGTTGGCCATGCTGAGGGGCAGGGCAAAGGCTGGGGGAGCAAGAGGAGACCAGGAGGAAATGCTGGAGCAAATCTGGGAAACAGTAGGAAGTTTATGTGCAGCCAGGACCTGCTCTGCCTTTCTCCTTGTTTTTGCACAACTGAACAGATTTTGTTGTTGTTGTTGTTGTCATGAAAACCCAACCAAATCCTGCAGCTTTCCTGAAGTGGAAGTGGCATTTTCCTTTTCAGAGGACACTTCTGAAAGTAAGGGGTGGCCACTCCCATATTTTTGCTTGAATATTGCAGGCTGCATTCCTCAGTGGCCATGCTCTGTGCCACCAGCACCCAGCAGGCTGGCATCTGCCCAGCAAAATCCTTGAAGGTTGGTGGCTCACAGGGCAACAGAACGTTAATATTGAGCAGGATTTTATGGCCTTTTATCTCAGCACTTGAAAAGACATGATGGCAGTTTATGTGCCTGAGGCCCAGGGTGTGTCCCTCCGTTGTTTGGTGACTTTTTCCTAATTGGTGATTAAGGGAAGAGGCATTAGGTCCTCATGAGCTGAGCAGTCTGGTCTCATACTCAATTCTTTCCTTGTGGCCCTTGCCATGGTGGGAGATGGGATTTGCTGGGTGCTCAGCTGATGTTTTCAACTGTGTTCTCCTTCCATGGGCTCTGAGGATTTCTTCTCTACCCTTTCAGCTAACTGGCACCTCCTCACATCCCTGTAGCACTGTCCTGGGCTGGGCAGAGCGAGGGGAAAAGGGCTTCAAAATCTGCCTGTGTTGGTAGCAAGGGACACAATATTTGCCAGTGGGTGCTGGTGTGAGGACTGTCCCTGAAGGAGTCACGGGCATGTCCCAGGTGAGGAATGCTGGCCTCAGAGCCAGCGCTGCAGCTGGAATTTGGGGGACAGGGACCACCCAAAGCCAAACCTGCAAAGGGCCCGACTGGGGACATGGGCTGGCTGTCAGTGTGGCAGGGAGGGAAGCAGAGGAGCTCCTTGCTCAACTGGCACCTTTAACCATAGGACAAGCAGCTCATTGGAAAAACAGCACATTGGCTCCAGGTGCTGAGGAGCAGCAAAGCTTCCCAGGGTGTCCCTGCAGAGACACTGCCCTGAGGCTCCTGAGTTTCATTTTTAGCCACTGGGCATTAATGGCTGAGGTAAATCCCTCTGGGCACAGCTGGCAGGATGAATAGATGCCAGTGTCACGTTGGTTGCTGCCTGTGTACCCAGTGCCTCTCACACAAGGCCACAGCGATGTCCTGTGGTGGCGATGCTGGCTTGGTTGAGCCCTGTGTCACAACAATTCAATGTATTCCCCTGGCTGCAGAGGCCAAGTGTGATCTGGTGCTGCTGGGACCAGGCTGGGCTTTTCCAGGGGTTTCCCTGCAGCCCAAGCCAGGCTGTGAGTGGCTGAGTCTCTGTGTGACTGCTCTGTGCTGGATGTCCCTCAGGGAACTTGGACATCATTACTGCCCGCAACAACTTTTCCTGTTTCCTTTCCCTGTTTTAAGTGGTTTTCACATTCTTTTCATTTTAGAGTCAGGGCTGACACAGCAAGAAGCTATAAGACAATCCATTCACATTTTATATTTCACAATTGCATCTACCAGGAAGGAGATGGTTTAATGGTGTCTTTACACTGTTATTTTTTCCTTGACTGCTCTCACTTGCCCTGCTGGGTGCAAGGATGAGCCTCTAGCACAGCAGCTGCAGAACTCGAGTTCCAGCTTTGTGCCTTCTGTTTACCACATCCAAATGCTGACTTCTGCATGGCACTGAGTTTTCTCAGTCACGTGTGGTGCGGGGAGAATGGTTCACTCTGTTTGGGATTTGACCTCTGGGTCCATCAAGGGGTCCTGCTGCCCTGGACAGGACCAAGGGGATCTGCCAGGCTCTCAAAACCACAGATTCATTCAACAACTCCAAAACTCCAAGTCTGGCATTTCCCAAGGCCTCACCCTCTCTTTATTGTTGGCTTGACCATCCTGGAAACTCTTAGTGTGATAGGAAATAGCTGAAGGGAGGGGTCAGTGTTGCTTTTGAGGAGAGCTGTGGACTGTCACTTTGTTTTCCTTTTTTTTTTTTATCCTGAACATGCCAGGAAAAGCAATGTTTTGGCCCTGTCAGTGCTCACACACATGGATGGTGCTGGGCTCTCTCTGGGAGCCTCCTGTGCTCCAGCTGCCTGCAGCAACCCCTCATGTCAAGCTGTGCACACCAACTCTAGGCACAGGGGTGGCATTTCTGGGAATTTTGAGCCTTTTGCAGATGTCTGAGCAGAAGACAAACCATCCTTGGCTTTGCTTTTGTGCCCTGCCCTGCCGAGCTCAGCAATTGTTTCCAGCCCAGGATGTGAGGGCTGGGAAGGAGCTCTGTGGGAGCTGCCCTGGTCATATCCAGGTCCATTCCACCTCTTGGCTCTCTGCAGTGTAGTAATCCCTTTATTTCAGGAGGAAGAGGATGAATGTGCTGCCAGGGGCGTGTGCCAGGCTGCTCCTCCTGTCCCTGCTCTGCGCCACCGGTGTCTGCCAATGGAGCAAAAGTGAGTGGAGCTGTGGTAGCCCTGCCTGCCAGCTCCCTTTGGGGACTGTGGGTACCTGTCCTGGGCTCCAGAAACACCTTGGGGAGTGTGTGTACCTGTGCTGGGCTCCAGAAACACCTTGGGGACTGTGTGTACCTGTGCTGGGCTCCAGAAACACCAGTCTTCATGGGGACAGCATGTGCTGTGTGCTTTTCCTGCTGTTTTCCATCTCCCCAGTTTTGAAGATCCTCCCATGCTACCCTGCTGCTGTTTTGCTGCCAGTTTCCACTAACCAGGCAAAACCTCAATTTTCCCATGGGATCAGCCTTTCTCACGGCCTCCCACAGCTCCCTTTGTTTTCCCCATCCCTGATGCCCTGATCTCTCCTGGCAGACAACCGCTGTGTGCTGTCTCGGGCAAAGAGCTGCACCGAGTGCATCCGGGTGGATAAGGACTGCTCCTTCTGCACCGACGAGGTGAGACCTTGCAGGGCAGCCTGGGGCTCCTCTTCCCACCCTGCTGGTGGAGGGATCCCCCCACCCTCAGTGGACAGGGAGACAAGAGCAGGGGCAGCTTCTCTTCTGGATGGGAAAGGCTGTTGCAATGTGGATTTCCTTTTGGTGTGGAACATGAGCAGGGAGGGGAGTCCAGGGCAGAATTGCAGCACAACAGGGGTTTATCAGAAAATGTCAGTGTGCCACAAACAGTGTGTGCAAGGGATGGAGGAAGAATTTTAGCTCACACAACCCAGTAACTCACCGGTGGCCACATTTCAGCTGGTGGTTCTGTGTGAGACTCGTTCCCATCTCTCCGCTACTGCTCTCGAAGGTTCATAATGCTCTAGGCACAGGATCCTGCTTCCTGCCCCGTGTATTTCCCCCTTTCCCAGTGGATCTGGTGCTTTCTGTGGCTCTGATGCTGCTCTTGCTCCCTGGCAGAGCTTTGAGGAGCCGCGCTGTGACCTGCGGGAGAACCTGCTGCGCTCCGGCTGCGGCGAGGCCAGCATCGTGTACACCCAGGGGGAGATGAGGACACTGAAGGTGAGTGCTGGGGACACAGCCCACACTCGCCTCTCCCGAGGGGTCCTTCACTCTTCTCCAGGCTCCTCAGCAGGAAGAATACAAAGCCCAGATTGCTATTTATGTAGGGTCTACTCGAAAGCAGTGCCTTTGCTAGCTGGTGGGCCTGTGGGCCACTGGCCCTGATCCAGGCTAGGGTGTCTTTGCAGACAAAGCAGATGTAAGCAAAATGCTCACATCCCTCTGGAGGAGGTGCCTGGCTGGGCACGAGTGGGTGTGGGGAAGGCTGTTGGACAGTACATGAGGGAGGAGGATGTGCTCATCCTTGCATTTGTACTTCCCACACATCTCCCTGCTCCTTGACTCCTCTTCATTGCACCCGTGCTGGAGATGGAGTCCATCCCTTCATGTCACTCTCCTTCACAGAATTCCAGTATCAACGTGTCCCTGCAGAGGACCCAGGTGTCTCCCCAGGCCATGTACATGAGGCTGAGGGCTGGCGAGGAGATGAGCTTCAACATGGATGTCTTCCAGCCCAAGGAGAGCCCTGTGGATCTCTACATCCTCATGGACTTCTCCTACTCCATGTCCGATGATCTGGACAACCTCAAAAGCATGGGGCATAACCTAGGTGAGGGCAGAGCTGGGAGAAGAGGGGAGCCTGCTCCTGTGCTGATGAAGGCAGGCAGCTCCTTCCTGCCTGTGGCTGCGAGTCCTCTGTCAGCACCAGAGAGGGGGCTGCAGCTGGCAGTGGGCTGAGAGGTGTTTTAATTAGAGTTTCTCATTATCTCTGTGCAGCCCAGGGTGGGGATGTCTCTCTGGTCCTGCAGGGATCCTCACATGCTCTCCCCTTCCAGCCCAGCTGGTGCCCCTCTGAGCTGGTCTGTGCAGGGCCTTTGGTATCCTGAACCTGCTGGCTGCTATTGCAGTTTTGGGGCTGCCAAAGGGGGTGTAGGTTTCTGCCCTATAAAAGCCCAAAGATCTTAAAAGATGGCAGTTTGGGGACCTTATCTAAGAGCCCACCAGCAGATAAAATGCCCACAAAAGTGCTTCTTTCCCTGGAGCAGGGAACTCACAGGCATCTCTTTATTTATGTGTGTCCTTTGCTCTCCTCCCAGCGGACTTCCTGCAAGCCCTGACTTCCAATTACACCATTGGATTCGGCAAGTTTGTGGACAAAGTCTCATCCCCTCAGACAGATATGAGACCCGAAAAGTGAGTGAGCCCTGTAGGTCCCCGAGATGGGAGTAGAGGAGTGGAAAGTGCCTTCTGTTTCTCCTTGGCTTTCAGTGTCAGCAGTGCAAGAGCCTCCATCCATCTACCTTCACCGCCAGTGTCCTCCCTGGTCTCCCCATCCCTCAGGGCTTGCTGTAGCACTGTGACAATGCCAGTGTCATCCTCTGCTTTCAGGCCTTCTCTGCTCTGCCACATCAGACTGCACATCTTGTCTTCTCTATCTCTGCCCTCATCCCTTCTCCCTCTCAGTGCTGGTGGCTGAGCTGCTCAGCCCCGTGACTTCCCCTTGAGGGACTCTCCCCACATCTCCTCTCCTTGCACCCCAGCATCCCTTGGCTCCTGCTCCACACAAGACCTTGGTTCCATCTCTCCTAGGCTGCGTGAGCCCTGGCACAACGCCGACTCCCCGTTCTCCTTCAAGAACGTCATCCGCCTGACCAGCAACATCAACCACTTCAGCCAGGAGCTCCGCAAGGAGCGCATCTCCGGCAACCTGGATGCCCCCGAGGGCGGCTTTGATGCCATCCTGCAGACAGCTGTGTGCAAGGTGAGGGTGGCCAGGGCTGTGTTTTTAATGAGTGGCTCTTCCTGATGCCCACTGATGAGCAGAAGAGCCGTGTACTAGGCAGCTATCAGGGCAGCCAGGGAGCCCTGGCTCAGCTGCAGTTGGTTTTTGCCCTCCCAGGCACACACTGCCAGTGCCAAGCTGTTTTGCATTCCCAGTTTTCCCTAAGCCTCATAGAATGTGTGTCCTGGTGTTTGATGCCCAGCAAGGAGCTGTTTTCTGGGCACCCTGTGTGTGCTCTTTGCTCTGTCCCCCTCCACGCCTGCGGTGATGAAACTGCTCCCTGGAAAAGAGCCCACTTGGGCTTGGCTGCTTGGCTGAGGGATGAGCGCAGCTCCAGACACGTCCAGGGAAGCGTGGGCTTGCCCCCTGTACACACATGTGCCTGGCACTGAGCTGCTGGGTGGGTGGGAGACACCCCGTGCTTTGGGGGTGTGGATGGGTGTTGGGATTCCTGGGGAATACGTGCCTGGTTGTGTTTGCTGCCAGGTGCAGGTGGTGCCTTGTCCCTTGGGTATTCCAGCTCCTGTCAGTGCTGGCTGCAACAGGGGTTTGGGAGGCACAGAGATAAAGGTTCCTTCTCCTCCTCCCTGGCTGCAGGATAAGATTGGCTGGAGAAAGGACAGCACTCACCTGCTCGTGTTCTCCACCGAGTCTGCCTTTCACTATGAAGCTGATGGTACCAACGTCCTGGCAGGGATCCTGGCGAGGAACGACGAGCAGTGTCACCTGGACAGCCACGGCACCTACGTGTATGACACCAAGCAGGACTATCCCTCGGTGCCCACCCTCGTGCGCCTCTTGGGCCAGCACAACATCATCCCCATCTTTGCTGTCACAAACCACTCCTACAGCTACTATGAGGTGAGGAGAGCATGGGATTGCCTTTCCTTCAGGGCCTCTGCTTCAGCTCAGCTCTGAGGAGAAAGTGTTCCCCATCGCTTGTCCCCAAGTGCTAAACCAACACCTCGGTATTTGGGAGGGTGCCACACTGTACTGGGGGGCTGCTCTAGGCTGTGGGAGGTCTTGGGGTGTATTCCTGGGTGCAGGAATTCAGGCTTCTACAGGTCTCCCTGTGTTGGTTTCTCCTTGTAAAGCAGCGGAGGTACAGAGCTGGGGAGTAATTTTGGTTGGCAGGGACATTTGGAGGTCTCAAAGCAGAGCCCACTCCCGTGATAGAGGAGGGTTCTCAGGGCCTTGCCTCAGGGAACTCCTGTCTCTCTGCAGAAGCTGCACAAGTATTTCCCCATCTCTGAGATCGGGGAGCTCCAGGAAGACTCTTCCAACATCGTGGAGTTGCTCCGCGTAGCCTTTGAGGTAACGGTGCTCTCTGGAGCTTCACTTTGGCTCACAGGGAGGGCAGAGGGCGGGCACCTCGTGGGCAGGAGGGCAGGATGTGGCCCCTCTGGAGCAGGTCACGGGGTACTGCTGAAAATCAACGTTGTGTTTATCCTCTGGCACCCAGCGCATCCGCTCCAAGATGGACATCCGGGCTGACTTCACCCCCAGAGCCCTGAAGACAGAGTTCACCTCCCCGGAATTTCAAAAGACAGAATCTGGCTCCTTCAACATCACCCGTGGAAAGGTGGTAAGTCCTCGGATGGCAGCAGAAGGAAGGCACGTGTGAGGGGATGGGCTCCCCGTGTCCAGCTGGGATGTGGTCCAGCAGAGCTGGCTCATCCCTGCAGTGTGTCCCTTCCTTCAGAGCAAGTTCCACATGCACGTGAAGGCTCTGGAGTACGTTGGTGGGCAGCACGTCTGCAGCCTCCCCGAGAAGGACCGGCAAGGAGTCATCCACGTGAAACCCACGTCCCTGAGCGACAGCCTCACGGTGTCAACTGCTGTCATCTGCGACGTGTGTCCCTGTGAACAGGTGGGGTCATGCAGAGAGGTGTCCTCCTGCTGCCAGCCTGGGGTGGGGATGTGTTGGCTGATGAATGTTGGTCCTGCTGGATCCCTCAGTGATGCTCAGCCTGGCCAAGATCTCCATCAATGCCTGTTCCCAGCTCGGTGTGATGTCCTGCGGTAGAGCTTGGTCTTCAGGGCAAAGCTTTGCCCTTGCATTTCTGATGCCTGAAATGGTCTTGTGGGCAGCTGGGCCCATTCAGCAATGGCTCTTTTCTCTTCCAGCAACAAGAGTTGGACTCGCCCAAGTGCAGTTTCCACGGGAACTTTGTGTGCGGACAGTGCATCTGCCACCCGGGCTGGTAAGGACTGTGTCCGGAGCCACCCCTGGTCCTGCCAGGGACCCACAGTGACACGCATTTGCCCCCAGGCATCCCGCACTGTGTGCTGCCCGCCTCAGCACCATCTCTGTGCCCAGGCGAGGGGACACGTGCGACTGCTCCCCGGCGTCGTCCCCCAACAACGAAGCCTGCGTGCGCCCCGGGGACGCGGAGCCGTGCTCGGGACGGGGCGAGTGCCTGTGCGGGAAGTGCCAGTGCTACTCCGAGGAGCAGACCCTGCGCTTCGACGGCGCCTTCTGCGAGTTCGACGTCCTGCAGTGCCCGCGCACCTCCGGCTTCCTCTGCAACGGTGAGAGCACCCCCGGGGCTGGGCGATGGATGTGCTGGGCTGGTGGCACACACAGGGCGTCCTGGTGGGGTTTGAGTGACCAGTGATGGGCTGCAGGGACTCTGCGGGTATAGAGGTGCAGGGAGGATGCTGTGGGGTGTGTTTGCAGCCCCTCTGCACTTCATAAAGCCCCTGTGCACCCCAAAGAAAGGGGGGGAGCCCCAGACAGGGCTGGGGGGATGGCTCAGCACTGCAACTCAGGCAATCCCTGCTCTCCCTGCAGATCGTGGCCGCTGCTCCAGGGGTGCCTGCGTGTGTGAGAGCGGCTGGGAGGGCCCGGGCTGTGAATGTCCCACCAGCAACGACACCTGCATCGACAGCCGAGGGGTAGGTCCTGCCCTGCCCTCCCCAGCTGCTCCAGGCAGGGCTGCCCCAGTGCTGGAATCTCCAGGTCACTGAGGTGCCTTGCTGACTCCCAGTGCAGCTCTCAGGCTGTCACCTCTTCTCTCCCAGGGCATTTGCAATAACCACGGGAGGTGTGAATGTGGCAGATGCATCTGTGACATGGCTTCACTGTACACCAGCTCCACCTGTGAAATCAGCTACTCTCTGGTGAGTTCCTCTGAGTTATCACTCATTCCTCCAGGGAAGAAAGGCAAAGCAGAGACGAAGGTACATCTCAGTTGGGAGCAAAATCTTGAGCAAGGGTTTGTCTCAACTGTCCTGTGGCCAGAAATGCTCTGGCATGGGAGCTGCTTTGTAGCCATAGCCTTTCTTTGCCATCCTGTTCACCAGCAGCAACTACTGAGAGACTGTCTGTATTTATCTGCACCCTGGTTTGAAGCTCAGCTTGTGACTTGTTCTGATTTGCCTCAAGACTGGGAAAAAAATAATTTCATGGAATCACAGACTGGTTTGGATTGGAAGGGACCTTAAACCTTATCTCATTCCAACTCTCCTGCAATGGACCAGGATGCCTTCCACTAGATCGAGTTGCTCAGGGCTCCACCCAACCTGGCCTTGAATGCACTCTATTTCCCCATTGACAAACATGGGCTAATCCCACAATAGAGATGGAGAAAGCTGTCTTGATCATGTTTTGGAAAGGCCACTGAAACCCTTGGAGAAGATCTAATTGCTGCCCAAATGCAGGCTGTTGGTATAAGAGATCCTGAAGGATTTATAACTGGGCTTACAAATCCTTCATTAGCTGCTTGTTCTCTGTGATTTCTCTTTTTGGCCTGGACCTTGCCCTGACTCTGGGATGAGGAGCTGCCTCTCCAGCTCTGCCTTTCAGAGGCTGTGTCCTCCCTCACTCCTGGGGTGTCCCTGACCATGCCACCCACCTCTGCCCAGGGCTTCCAGGCTGTCTGTGAGAGCATCCGGGACTGTGTCCGCTGCCAGACCTGGGGGACAGGCAACCTGAAAGGGAACTGCAGCTCCTGCCACCTCCAGGTCCAGATGGTGGAGGAGCTGAAGAAAGGTAACGGGACAGGCAGAGCTGGGCACAGCCACATGTGGTGTCCCCTGTGTGCTCTGCTCCGTGTGGGTGTGCACGTAGGGCTGCTCCCCAAGTCTTTCCTGGCCCTGGTGACTTCACAACCATGTCCCCTCTCCCCACAGACGAGGCTGGCGAGTACTGCTCCTTCCAGGATGAGGATGATGACTGCACCTACCACTACACCCTGGAGGGAGACCCCAGTGTCCTCCCCAACACCACTGTCCGTGTGCAGAAGAAGAAAGGTGAGCAGGGCCCTGGGAGGAGCAGGGGATGTCCAGCCTGGGATCTGGATCAGAGTGACCAACTCCACGGTGCCCCCAGTCCCTGCTTGGTCCCTTTGCTGTGCCCCTGGGCAGGGTCAGCTGCAAGCAGCTCCTCCTTGCCCACCTTGCTGTGTGACACAGGTGGGTGACACTGTCTGTCCCATGAACTGCAAGGGGTGGAACGTGGCACCCTCAGAGAGACATTCAGAGATCAGAGCCTTTCCCCTGCTGCCATGGGCAGGGATTGCTGCAAGGTGCTGCAGCCCTTTGGTATGGCTGGGTGTGAGCAGAGGTGTGATAGCCCTCCCTGAACAGCATTTCTCATTGTGCCGAGGTTAACTGGGCTGCTCCATCCCTCAGAGAGCTGTGGTCCAGCTTTCCCCTCCCTGCTCCCTCCCTCCCTGCACATCTCACACGGGGCTGATGCCTGGCACTGACGTTGCTGTCACTTGCAGAGTGCCCACCTGGAAGCTTCCTCTGGCTCATCCCACTGCTCATCTTCCTCATCCTGCTCCTGGGGTTGCTGCTCCTGCTCTGCTGGAAGTTCTGTGCCTGCTGCAAGGTGAGTACCTCAGGTGGCTTCCCCAGCCTAGGGAGAGAACCAGATATGGCCAAAAACATGGCAAATTTCCAGAATTCACCCAGCCTCCAGCATGGCCAGATTCACGGTGGATTCTCATGGCTGTTGCCAACATGAGCTGCTGGTGAAATTTTAGTCAGCTTTCCCCCATCTAACTAAAATCAGGTTGAGAGCCCACTCCACCCACTGCCCACACATCCCTGCTGATGTGGATCCTCCCTGATGGAGACTTGGAGGGGTTTTGTCTTTGGCCACAAAGTGATTTTTTGTCTCTGACCATTTGTTTTCTAGGCTTGCCTGGCCCTGCTTCCCTGCTGTGCACGAGGTACCAGCCCCTGGTCTTGGGGGGAAGGGTTCTGGGGGGTGCACTGCCTTCCTGGCTTTGGGGGTGTGCTGGGGTGAGCATCCCTCCTCTCTGAGCTGCAGAGGTGGATCAGGGAGAAGGCTTCTAGCAGAGAGCCTGAGCCAAGGAGTCGTGATCCACACTTCTTCCCTGCCCCACACCCTGGTGTGAGAAGTGGATTCATAAAAGATTTTCAAAATATATCTGTATGCAAATACTGAGATAAGGTGTGTTGAGTTAGGAAGGCTATGGAATAGAGATGACATTGTTGAGAGAGAGATTGAACTAGAAATAAGTTTCAAAATATGGCTTTATAAAAAGACAAAATATTTTAGAAAATTAGAACTGTGAAAGATAGATGGTAGCAAGGTTATGTGGGGTAAAAATATACGTGATTAGTGTTACAAGTAATACCAACATTTTATAGTAAAAGTTAATAGGCTGAAAACCATTTATAAAGCTTTATAACTAAGAAATTAGCTTCTGATAGAATGGCATTGGGTTTTACATCTCTTATGTCTCACCCTTCATCAAGACTGATAGAATAAAATAATTTCAAATGTCTCTCAATTAACCCCATCTCTGTAAAAGCTAAAAAAACCAACACCTGGGATGCCCTGCTGGGAATCCCACTGCTGCCTCTCCCTGACCTTGTGATGCTTAGCTGGTGAGACGTGTTCTCCCTGCTCATCCATCCCACTCCCCTGCTGACATCCCTGCGGCTTTGGGGGGTCACTTGCTGCTGTCCCCCGTCCCTCCCCAGCCCCCCGGGACCCCTCCGGGGCCGGGGTTTGCCGCAGTCCCGCTGCCCTGGGCTCACCAGGCAGCAGCTGGGTTAGCACGGTCCGAGCTCCGGCGTTGCCTCGGTCGCCGCAAGAATTTGAGATAAAGAGACCAAGAGAGACCAATGGTATGCTTGTCCAGAGAGATTGTATTGCCTGAACCATAGCAGGGACCTAAGGCCCTGGGCTATTGCCCAGATACAGTTTTATACAGCAAAATGAAGAGATAAGGTCTAAACAAAGGGGATACTGTCCAGCTTAGGCACATCAGAATCACCCCAGGGGTCAGATCCAATGGGAACTGCTCAGGGATGGGGAGAAGGGGGTTCACAGAGAAATGCTGAAGTGAAACTTTCCCGAAACAGTGGAGCATACAGAAATATATCTTTTCCTCAGTTTCCCATTCCCAAGGCCTTTCTAAAACCCTTCCTCCACACTACCATGCCAGCATGATAGCAGCGCATCCCAACACCCTCAGTGTGGTGGAAACCCTCCGCATCGCCCAGAGCAGAACCTCTGGCACTGGGCAGCTGCTGGCTGGCGGCGTGCCCAGGCTCTGACCCCACCCTGGCTCTGCAGGTCGCACCGTTGGCTTCAAGGAGGACCACTACATGCTCCGCCAGAGCCTCATGTCCTCCGACCACCTGGACACGCCCCTGGTGCGCAGCGGCTCCCTCAAGGGCCGCGACACGGTCCGCTGGAAGATCCACAACAACGTCCACAAGCAGGGCGTCACCTCCCCCGCTGCCACCAAGGACCTCGGTGAGTGCCCCCGTGCTGCTTCCAGCTTCTGGGTGGGTTGTTTCTCTGACCAGGAAGGGATGGAATTTGATCTGGGGGTTTCCTCTTTGCAGTTCCCTACGGGCTGTCCCTGAGGCTGGCCCGGCTTTTCACGCAGAACCTGATGAAAACGGAGACCCGGGAGTTCGAGCAGCTGCGCAAGGAAGTGGAGGAGAACGTAGGAGCCTGGGCACAAAGGGGCTTGGGGTGGCCTTGGGGACAGCCACACAGGGGGCTGGGCAGTGCCCCTTCCCTGCGAACCCACAGCTATGGAAAGGAAGGAGCAGTTTTTCTTCTTTTGTGAAAAAACACAATTTTTAAGGTCACAATTGTAAGAATTGGCAAAGCATCTCATGGAGATTTTGGGCTTACTTTGGGGCATGTGATCTGAAGCTCCTGTTTGGCTTCAGTTTGCAGCCTCTTGCTGTATACTGGGATGAAACCTGGTGTGGGAGGGTGAGGGAGGAGGGCTGGGGTGGTCAGAGGGCTCCTGGGTTTTGTGGCAACAGCATCTGCTCACTGAGCAGCACATCCTGCCTAGTGAGGGATACGCTGTGACTCCTGTCTCTCTTGTGCCTCCTGCTCCTTGCAGCTGAACGAGGTTTTCAAGCACATTCCTGGCTGCCACAAGGTCCAGCAGACCAAGTTCAGGTGAGTCAGTTGGGGAGAGACTCCTGCAGGAGAGGGTTCCCCCAGGGCACTGCTGATGATGGGGTGTGAAATCTGCCGTGCTGGGAGGAAGTGTGGTCTGTGAGACAAGCCTGGTGTGGTGCTTCACCCACCCAGGGCTGCAGAGCAGAGCCCACCCAGCTGTGGAGGAGATCTCACCTGAGCTTGGCTCTGGAGCAGCAGGAGCAAGTCCTGGTGGGATGGTGTTCAATGGGAGAATTCCCACTGGCTTCAAGAGCTTCAGCCTGGTGCAAGCTTAGGAGTGGGCTGGGAGGAATCTGGGGATGCCAGTGCTGAGCAGGGAGTGGTATCTCCTCCCCACAGCCTGATCCAGATGTGGTCTCCCCTCTGGGCATGTTCCTTGCTGCATTGGGAAACCCAGGGCAGGAGAGAGCAGCTGGGCAGGAGGGAACATGTGCTGGGGCTCCGTGGGATGGGTTGGCACCCGCAGGGCAGTGCTGCAGCTCAGACCTGCACAGGGCTCTGATTCACACAGCACTTTGTCTCTCCAGAGGTGTTAGTCACTGTGATTTGGGTTTATTTTGGTTTTTTTTTTTTTTTTTTTTCATTCCCCCAGGTTACAGCCTAATTCTGGGAAAAGGTAAGAGGAATTTGCACCTCTCTGGTGCAGCTTCTCCCTCTTTGTACGGACACATGTGGGGTGACTGAGTGCCCCACACACTCACTGGCCCCCCAGATGAGTTAGCCTGGTCTCAGCTCTCACCTGCCCTTCCCTGCCCCCCTCCCAGGCAGGATCACACCATTGTGGACACAGTGCTCACTGCCCCTTACTCAGCCAAGCCAGACATCATCAAAGTGGTGGAAAAACATGTTTCCCACGAAGCCTTCAATGACCTGAAGGTTGCACCGGGTTATTACACCGTGACCTCAGACCAAGGTAGGGAGCAGAGCCTGGCACTGGCTCCTGGCTGGGTACAGGGGGTTATCTCTCACCTCTCACCCTTGTCTTTTCCCCCAGATGCTCAGGGAATGGTGGAGTTCCAAGAGGCCGTGGAGCTGGTGGATGTCCGTGTCCCGCTCTTCATCAGGGACGATGATGATGATGAGAAGCAGCTGCAGGTGGAGGCCATCGAGGTCCCCAATGGCATCGCAAAGATTGGGCGCAGGGTTGTCAACATCACCATCATCAAAGAACAAGGTGAGGGGCTGTGACTGTGAGGTTTTGTGTTTGAGTGTCCTGTGTCCAGACTGATGGGATCTGTAAGGCACAGTCTGCATATCTGAGCACCCCTGGGCCACAGAGCAGAGACTTGCTTGGTGACTCCTTTCTGAAGTCACTTGGGTCTAAACTGGAGCATCCTTTAATGCATCCAAAGGAGGGTCATCTTCCCTGCTGGCAGAAACATTTGACCATCACAAAGATGTTCCATGACAGATTAAGGGCTGACCATATTCCTCTGCTGCTCCAGTTCATTGAGTGCTGGCGTGAAGCAGAACCTCTTTGATGTTATTGTGCTAATGTCCCCAGCACTTTCCCTCAGCTTCCCTCCTGGTGTTTTGAGCAGGGAGCACAAATGGGAAGTGGGGAACTCTCCAGCCCATGGAATAATACCTCATGCAGTTCACACCCAGGGGTAACTGGAACTCTCTTCAGGAAGGACATTTGTTTGGGATGTGATTTTTGTGTATTTGCTTGACGCATTCCTTCTCTCCTGCCCTTTCCAGCCAGCAGCCTCATCACCTTCCTGCAGCCAGCCTATTCCCACAGCCGCTTTGATAAGCTAGCCAAGATCCCTGTCCTCAGGGAGATCATAGACAACGGGAAATCCCAAGTCACCTACAGGACCCGGGATCTCACGGCCAAGAATGGCAGGGTAAGGGTGCCACTCCTTCCTTGGCAGGCAGGAAGGAGGGGGAATGTAGGGCTGGGAAAAGGCCAGCCCTGGGGATGCAGAACAGGAGTTACCAGGATGTGGCTGGGACAGAGGGGACCCAAGGCTTGAGGTCACCACAAGGGTGAATTTTCTTCTCCATCCCTTGCTCCCTCAGGGAGGGAAGACCTGAGAGGATGTCTGTGCCTGAGGCAGGAGATACCACCTGCCCCTGGAGCTGTGGGCACTGGGAGGCAAATGAGGATTGACTGAGGGATGAGGGGAAGCTCTTTGGGAGTCTCCTCATGGATACTGCAGGCTGTAATCATAAAATCATGGAACAGTTTGGGTTGGAAGGGACCTTACAGACCATCTCGTTCCAACCCCCTGCCATGGGCAGGGCCTTCCACAAGACCAGGTTGCTCAGAGCCCCGTCCAGCCTCACCCTGAACTCATCTCTTCCTTCTCCTCCAGGACTACATCTTCACGGAGGGTGAGCTGGTCTTCCAGCCTGGGGAGACCCGAAAGGAGGTGCAGGTGCCTTTGCTGGAGCTGACAGAGATAGACACCCTCCTCAACAACTGCCAGCTCAAGCAATTTGCTGTCGACCTCCTGCACCCCAAGTACGGCGCCAAGATTGGTCGCTACCCCCAGACCACGGTGACCATTGCTGACCCAGGTAGGGGCTGGCAGCCGGGCAGTGGCAGTGGGGGCTGTGGCACCTCCTGCCCAGAGCAGCCCACCCCGATGCGGTGCACAGAGTTCCATCCTCGCCCAAAAAAGCTGCGGCGAGGTTCCTCCAGCTCCAACTGGTAGATTTGGGTCCCCTCTAGAGGCACGAGTGGGAATAGTCAGTGGGTGGGGAGAAGATGGATCGTCTCCCTCAGTAAAGGAAATAGAATGGATTCTTAATTCCTTTTCCATGGGAAATTGAATGAAAAGCCGTAAAAATAAGGGAGAGGTAGGATTTGCCATGAATGGTGCCTGGTTCCTGTGACTGGACAAGCAAAACTGTCATCAAGCGGGTCACTAAAATAATGTATTTATCACAGCATGGCAGCGCAGTGCTGAGAGGCACACTTCCTTCTTTTCCATCCAAGGGGGAAGACTGGCACTGATATAAACTTTCTTGTCTGCAGAGCTGGTGGATGGTGTCCCCTCGATGACTGGCCTGGCCCAGGTCCCCCAGTCCCCCAAAGGCCGCCTGAGTGCACCTCTTAATCCTGATGCCCGGGCTCTCAGCTCCAGGGAAATCAGCTTCAACTGGTTTCCTCCACCAGGAAAACCCCTGGGGTACAAGGTAAGGGGTGAGTGGATCCCAGGGAAGACTGTGGGTCCCCTCCTGCTGGTGTTTCACACAGACATTTGTACCGAAGGGGTCCAAGTACACACCCAAAAGAGGGAGCAAGTTCACCCCTTCTGGTCCCCTCCATCCCTGAGGGACCATTGCTGGTGGATGAGGCATATGCAAGAAAGATTCCTGGTGGATTCATCTCCAGTTCCATCACTTATCATGATGACCCAGACTGTCCTGGCCTCCCATTTTGGAGGAATGGCACACCACCAATTCCAGAGCTGATTTAGCAAGAGACAAGCAATTTCTCACCCATCATGTGAGGTTCTGAAGGAATCATGGCTTGCACTTGCTTTGCCAGGTGAAATACTGGATCCAGGGAGACCCTGAGTCAGAAGCCCATCTTATTGATGTCAAAACCCCATCAGCAAAGCTGACAAACCTTTACCCCTTCTGCGACTATGAGATGCAAGTCTGCGCCTACAACGCCGTGGGAGAGGGGACTTACTCGGACATCATCCACTGCCGCACGCTGGAGGAGGGTGAGTGACCACACACCTCCCTGCCCTCCACGTGGGAGCCAGTTTGTGCCTCTGCACCCAGCACCGGGGTCAGGGCTCCAGCCCTGAGCTTCTGGTGAACTCGGGATCAAGCACCGAGTGTCTCCCGCTGCAACCCAGCTGTGATCTGGGCAACTCTGGGCATCCCCTGGTTCCTGACTTTGCTTTTGCCTTCCCAGTGCCCAGCGAGCCCGGGCGCTTGGCTTTCAACCTCGTGTCTTCCACCACGACCCAGCTGAGCTGGGCTGAGCCTGCAGAAACCAACGGGGTGATCACAGCCTATGAAGTCGGCTATGGGCTTGTCAATGAGGAAAATGGTAAGTGCTTGTTTTTGGATGGACAGTCCAGCTAGGATGAGGGGCTGGAGGGGACTTCCTGCAGGCTGGGCCGGTCCCAAACAGCAGCAGCAGAGCCAGAACAGCTCCAGGCATGTTTCTTTTGAGAACTGGGGTTTGGATGGGTCACTTCTTGATGGAAAGAGCACAGAAAAATCACCAGTCAGGATTTAACCCTGCAAATGCCAAAAATCTCTGTTTCCATACACTTCCATTGTGTTTTATGTTGTTTTTCATCCCAAAAACTTAGTTAATAGGTCTAGATAAAGGGGTGGGGTGCAGGAGAGGGGGGGATACACCAGAAACAGAAGACTTCTCATGTAGGTTGACTTCAGCATATGGTTTGGGAATTACCCTGAGGTGATGCTGCTTGTTGTGAGCAGCCCAAAGAGCTGCTGCACTTCTCCCCAGAGCCAGGCTGTATCCTGACACCAAAGTGTGGGGTGTTGTGGGGTCCTCTGTGCCTGCTGTGTGACAGGCATGCCCATGCCTTGCAGTACCCACTGGGACTGTGAAGAAGGTGCTGGTTGAAGACCCCAAGAAGCGCGTGGTGCTGATCGAGAACCTGCACGAGTCGCGGCCCTACCGCTACACGGTGAAGGCCCGGAACGGCGCGGGCTGGGGGCCCGAGAGAGAGGCCACCATCAACCTCGCCACGCAGCCCAAGCGCCCCATGTCCAGTGAGTGCCAGCCTGGCAGGGGCAGAGGGACAGGAGCAGTGCTGGGGAGAGCTCCCCATCACCCCAACTGCTTCCACACCTCCTGTCTGCTCTGCTGCTCCAGCCATCCTGGGAATGCTGAGAGCCAGCCTGAGCATTGTGCGGTTTTTTGCTGCTTGTGTGGTTTTTTGCTGCTTGTCTAACGGCGCTTTCCACCTCTCCTGCAGTCCCCATCATCCCTGATGTCCCCATCATTGATGCAGGAGGAGGTGAGGACTATGACAGCTACTTGATGTACAGCACAGACGTGCTCCGCTCTCCGGCCGGCAGCAAGAGGCCCAGTGTCTCTGATGATTCAGGTTCGTGTCTCTGAGCTTGAAAAGGTCATTTCTAACATCCGTTTTCCTTAACAGCAGCTTTCAGCAATGAGCTTCACTGCTTCTTTCCATCTCTCAGGAAATCCAAGTTGTGGAGATGGTGAAAATCAGCCTTTCCAAAGCTCAGTAGTTGAATTCATGGGAACACTTGGCTGGTCACAGTGTAAATAAGGCCAGTGCCTCCTTGTCGCAGCCATGGGGCAAAGAGAAATCTCTGTGTGGGGTGGGAGAGGCCTGCCCTGCTCATCCTCCCTTTGTGTTGCCATTTGGCTGGACAGTGAGACATCAGCAAACAAGCACCAGCAAAGGCACAAACCTCTGAGTCCCCTGGATGCTCAGGGTCTAGGCCAAGCCAACAGGAGGGAACGCAGCAGTGCTGGGAAGGCACTGGCCTCTCTTCCTCCATGCCTTCACTTTCTGAATGAGGCTGACTCCCTGGTCTTGTGCTGGGGCATGAGTGAGATGATGTGTCTGTAGGATCTTCTCTGGAGGGTTCTCCAGGGCCTGGGACCCAAGAGTGAGTCCCTGGTCTTTTCAGAGAGCAAGGTGATATTCAGGAGTCCAACCACCCTGAGTGCACATCAAGGAATGATGAAACCTCTCCCGAGCAGAGGACAATTGTTGCAGACTCTTCATGCAGGGACAGGCATGTGGTGGGACTTTGACTCTCACCTTTTGTCATGAGGCACACAGGGCTGGAAAACAGTCTGGGGGTTGAGGAACCCCTTGCATGTCACGCTCCCACCACTCTCCACCTACCAGATGGTTGCACCACCTGAACTCCTCAGCTCACCCTTGGAACACAGGCTGTGAACAGGCATCGTCCCCACTGGTGCTTGTCCCTTCCTCTCCCCAGCAAGCAGCACAGAGGTGGTGGGTGGCCCACCCTGACCCCTGCAGACCGTGCCAACACCAGTGCTTGCGTTGTCCCAAAAGGCTCCAGGTGGAAATTTGTGCCGCTGCTGGGAGAAGACCTGGACCTTCGCCGCATCACCTGGAAGCTCCCACCCGAAACCATTCCCCGCCTCTCTGGCAGCAGCCGCCTCTCCTCGGACACCGAGGGGCTCCTCCAGGAGGAGGACAGCGCTGTGGCTCCTGGCAGTGTGAGGAGGAGCGGGACGCCCCGGCCCCAAGCAGGTGAAGGACGGCTCCACTACGGCACCGAGTGTCCTGTCTCGTCCTGCTTTGAGCCGAGGGGCCGGTGGATGGGCTCTGTGCCCTCTGCCTCCCCTTGTGTGCCCACCCTCGTGTTGGTGTGATCTGCTTCAAAACCTTGTCCTGGTGTGTCTGCTCACACGAGTGTCAAGGTAACCCCATCTCGGCATGGACTTGGGAGCCTGCTAGCAAGTTGCTTCTACCAAAGGCTGGAGCTTCAAGGCAGGAGCAAACTCAGATGATACCTGCTAAGTGCCACCTCCAAGGCAGCTCTTCACCTTAATTAAGTGCCCTGAGCTTCTGGGGCAGATCTGCTGGACTGTTAAACAGAAATTACTCTCTCGTAGGTGGCTGATCTCTCCTGGCCTGCTGGGAGGGGATGGGGATTTGTTTCTCGAGGACCAGGACAACAGAGCAGAGTTTGCTTTTCAGATCCAGCTGAGATGGGATCCAGAATGAGATCTGGATAAACCTCCTCCAGAATGGGCCACTTTCCTTCTTCCACCTTCTTTTAAAATCTGAAATGATAAACCAGTGCTTGTGTCTAAGGGGAGATGTGAGAGAATGTGGCGGGAACCACAGGGCAGTGCCCCAGCAAGGCCGAGGTCTGGAGTTACCTTGGGCACCATGGGTGTGTCTGGTGCAGGGAGGAGTCTTTGTTTATCTCTTTGTTTCTGCGTCTTGTGTTGGGTGTTGTGGCTTGTTCTAGATGTAACATTCCAGAATCACGTTCTAGAGTGGTTGAACCTGGGATTCAGCCAAGGCAGGGGGGGCACCGTGATGCCTCCTGCTTCCTCCCCATGGAAAGTGGAGCAGCAGCTTTGTCCACAGCCACATTCCTCACAGTGTGCCTTCTTCCACAGAGCACTTGATGAATGGCCGAGTGGACTTCTCCTTCCCCGGCAGTGGCAGTGGCACCCTGACCAGGACAGCCAACACCAGTTACCACCAGCTGAGCTCCCACATGCACCAGGAGCACAGGGTGATGGGCAGCTCCTCGCTGACAAGAGATTACTCCACAATGCTGATGGGACACGGTGAGTACCACAGGGATGGGACCTGCCCTTCCCTTCCATCCCCGTGACTGTCTTTGGACCTGTGCCCTAAAGTCCTCGTGGGGTGAGGACTGTGCTCACAGCTAAGGTGGCCTATGAACTGAAGGTCTAGAAAGTCATGTCCCCACCACTGGTGTCTTGGTGCTTTGTAAAGGCCTCTCTGCTTCCAGACCAGTTTGGAAAGGGGTCCCACCCTCACAGGCAGGGTGCTGAGGGAAGGGAGCTCCAGCCTTATCCTCGCACCACAAAGCACTCCAGGGAGAGCACTTGTCTCTTCTCCTCACTCTGTCCAGCAGTGTGGTTGCCTTTCAGCTCCACGTGTGTCAATCAGCTGACAGAAGGTGGTTTAAAGATTCTTCAAACTTGAGCCTTAATAAGTCACCTGTGCAGGAGCCTGGGCTGAACCTGCTCTGAAATCTCCAATGGTGTTTTTCTTCTTGCACCGTTTCTGTAGATTACCCAGGGACACTCCTCCCTCCCATCCATGAAGATGCTGGGAGGACACTCCTCCGGCCCCGGGACGTGGGTTTCAGGAGCAGGGCAAAGGTGAAGGGTTACTACCCCAGCATTGGCTGTCGGGACTCTATAATCATGACTGATGGGTCCACAGGGATGTGCAAGTACATAGGTACAGCGTGTTCAGTGTTTCCTCCCAGCCACACGTCCCATAACAGCCCAGCCACAGCCCATCCATGAGCTGCTGCCATCCATTGCTCACACCAAACCTCCTCTCCATGGCTTGCTGTGTGCAGTGCTGATCTTCCTTCTGACCCAGCCTGCACCTCCATCACGTCACCTTTCCATTTGCAGGTGAATTGCAGGTTTCAGCCCACCTGGACTGATTAACATTCACCACCACTGCTGCCACCGTGCTCTGATCAACCCATTGTCCCCATTCTCTTCATTCCTAACGAGCTTCTTGTTCTCAGTCTGACTCCACAGGCCTCTGGAGAGTTCTTGGGGAGAACGTGTGCTCCTTATGAGATGTCCCTCTGCAAGCTCCTTGTCAGTGAGGGGCTTCAGTCCCTGAGTGTCACCTGGGAGGCAGCTGGGCTCTCCATGAGCCTTGTGTCCTCGTGGGATGAGCTGAGGAGCACCCAGATGTGGTCCCAGGCCACATGAACAGGGCCTGGAGGGCTGATTTAAATGTAGATTAGGGCTGGTTTAATTGACCTACACCTGATGAAATCTATGAAGCTTCTGGCAAACTGGACTGGGTGTTTAGGGGTGAGGAAGGTCACAGCCAGCACCAGGCCCCTTCTCTGGGCTCTTTGCCACAGGGGCACGAAGCTTACATTAACTTGTCCCAGCCGAGGCCATGGCACACCCCTGTGGCTGTGCAGAGCCAGCCAAGCCAGTCCCCCTTACAGCAGGTCAGCTTGCAGAGGTGACATCTCACCACGTCCTCCCCGAACCATCAGGACCATCCCATGTTTGCCTGTGCCACCTCCTTCTCTCCCCCAGCCCCTTTAGCCCCCATCCCCAAAATCTCCAGCCTGATGTTCCCTTTGTGCCTCAGACTCCAGGAAGCCACTGGGCATCCCTGACACCCCCACCCGCCTGGTGTTCTCTGCCCTGGGCCCCACGTCCCTGAAGGTGAGCTGGCAGGAGCCACGCTGCGAGAAGGAGGTGCAGGGCTACAGCGTGCAGTACCAGCTCCTCAACGGAGGTCAGTGAGCAGCCACTGGGGGCTTGGTGGGAGTTTCGGGTGGTGGAAGGTCTGCTCTGGGTCTTCTGGCTCTGGTTGACCCTGCTCTGAGCCAGGGGGGTTGGACCAGATGATCTCCAGAGGTGCCTTCCAGCCTCAGCCATTCTGGGATTCAGGGTCCTAAATCTGCTTTTTGTGCAATATATATATATATATATATATATATTTTTTTTTTATTTTTTTTTTTTTTTTTTTTTTTTTTGAATTTTTTTTTTTTTTTTTTTTTTTTTTTTTTTTTTTTTTTTTTTTTTGGTGAGGAAATGGTGCAGCTACCTCACAGCTTTCATTCCCTGTTTCTCCTAGAAGAAGAGCAATTCCTAGAGTTTCTTGTAGAATCATCTCTCCTCCAAAAAAAATAACTCATTTTAACGAATTCTCTCCATCAGCCCAAACATCTTACGTTAATTTTTTTTTCAATACATGGGACTTGAAGGACTGAAATGAAAATATCTTATTTTTACATGAATCTTAGGGCAGTATTAGTGAAAATATAATTATTTTGACTGAAACTCCATGAGTTTTCAAGAAGCTGTTGTTTGTCCCAAGCCTTTTTTTAAAAAAGACATCTCATCCTGCACTACCCATTGTTGGTGGCAAGGTTGGGGAGGAACCCTGGATGACTTTTGCAGCCAGTTTATTTGAAACACACTTTAGGTGAAAGTTGTGGCTCTGTCTTTGTGCCTGCAACGTGGTGTTGACATCCTCTTCCCCCTGTGTCCCAGGAGAGGTGCACAGGATCACCATCCCCAACCCCAGCCAGAACTCGGTGGTGGTGGAGGACCTGCTGCCCAACCACTCCTACATCTTCAAGGTGAAGGCGCAGAGCGAGGAGGGCTGGGGCCCTGAGAGGGAGGGAGTCATCACCATCGAGTCCCAGGTGGACCCGCAGAGCCCGCTCAGTCCCGTGCCAGGTGAGGTGCTGGGGACCCAAGGGTGGCACTGATATCTGTGGTGCTGTCTACAGTGCTGGCCTGGCTGTTTTCTCTCCCCTTGCCACATCCTCACCTCTCCTTTCCTTCCTCTCGTTTTGGAACGGGACCTTCTCCCCCACACATTCACATCACATTCATTGTCCAGGAAGCCGAGCCCTTCCAGCTCGTGCAGATCCCTCCCAGGCTCCCTTTGCTGTGACTCTGACGTGTCCCCTGTGCCCTTGCAGGCACCCCCTTCACCCTGAGCACCCCCTGTGCCCCTGGACCACTGGTTTTCACTGCCCTCAGCCCGGATTCTCTGCACCTCAGCTGGGAGAGACCCCGCGAGCCCAACGGGCCCATCCTGGGCTACAGGATCACCTGTGAGAGGCTGCATGGAGGAGGTACAGTATCAGGCTGAGGCAGCACGGGAGCACCAGATACCTCCAGCTAAGGCAGCAATCTGCTTTATTTCGGCTGGGACTAAAGAGTTTTTTGCTTACATCAGCGCAGACAAAGTGGGGACATGAGGCCGATTCCTCCCAGGCCTGGGAGCTGGTGGCTCCTGACACTATGTGCCATTGCGTGGTCTGGTCTAACAAATGTGGTGGGAAGAGGAAGGACCTCAGCCAAAACCCCGTGGAGGTTGGTTGTTGAGGCTCCCCACTGCAGTGAAGTGGGGTTGTTTTAACCCTTAGAAGAAGTGGGTGCAGTCCTACAGCCTGTGGGTTGTAAAGCTCAGGGACAGCCGAGGCAGCAGAGTTGAGAGGGAGGGTGTTTGCAGGAACCATCGCTCTGGGCCAGCTTCACCACCCTGTGTCTCTGGATTAGGGGAGCCCAGGACCATCTACGTTGAAGGAGACAACCTGGAAACCACCCTGACCGTGCCCCACCTGAGTGAGAATGTCCCATACAAGTTCAAAGTGCAAGCCAACACCACCCAAGGCTTCGGGCCAGAGAGAGAAGGCCTCATCACCATTGAATCTCAGGACAGAGGTACAGGACCCTTGTTTTTGTGGAGGTGCAAAGAGAAAGCTCTTAGAGCAGGGAACACAACTCCTGCAGTCACTTTCCAGCTCTGGTGGTGACTCCATGCTCCATGAAAGACATGGAGACAGTTTTCCATGAGGGCAGTGCTGTGCCTGGTGAGCACTGTCTCAGTCCTGGTGCATTAAATGAGGGAACATCTGCCAGTGTTTAACTTGTGGTGAAACTTCTGCCTGTTTGTACAAATACCTGAAGACAGCTTCTTACTGCTCAGGTGTGAGACCTTCCCAGTCCTCCCAGTTCCTCCTGAACCTGGCTCTGATATCAGCAAGGGAAGATTCCTGAGTTTGCTGGTGATCACTGTGCAGGGTTGAAGAGTTGGAAACTCTGTTATTTCTTGACTGACTTGTCCCTTTTCCTTCTCCCCAGGTGCTTTCTCCCAATTTGGAGGACAGCAGTACATGAGAGAAGTTTACAAATTCCCCACTGAATACACCACCAAAACCAGCATCAGCCATTCCTCTCTGGATCCCCACTTCACAGGTAGGGGCTCATTGTCGCTTTGCAACCCTCAGAAAACAAAGGATAATTCTGCTTGTCCAAAGCCTGAGGCTGCTTTTACCTCAAGAGCCAAAGGCAGGGGAAGAGGGTCCATCAGGTGGGATTGAAGAGGGTCAGCTCTTTTCCTACACTGCTTTACCCCAGGGAGGGTTGCAGTCATCTCCACACGTGCTGGCCAGTCCTGGAGGGAATGCTGTATTTGAGAGTCCTCCAGCACTATCACTAGGGACCAAATCATAGCTCTTCCTGCAAGGTTCAGTCTCTTCAGAGCAGACAAAAACAGAGCAGGGGGACAAACATCTTTATTCACATCAGTGTAGTTATCCTGTGTTACCCACTTGTGCTCATGGGTTCACACTGCAACACAGCTTGGGAGCTATTAGGAGATCCGTCCCCTTGACTGACGTAGTGAAGCACTGGATCACTGGTGTGGAGAGGTCCCTAAATATCACTTCCTATGATGGAAAACAAACTGCCTGGAGTCACGGGGCAGCACAGAGCCTGTTCCCTGTGACCCCACTCGTGGTGCCTTCCCCTTGCAGACGGGATGCTGGTGACCACCCAGCGCGTGGAGAACTCCAGCAGCACCCTCACGCAGGAGTTTGTGAGCCACACGGTGATGGCCAGCGGGACCCTCACCCAGCAGGTGGAGAGGCAGTTCTACGAGGCCTGAGCCAGGGCAGGCTGAGCACCAGCAGGACTTTTGGGATCAGGTGCCAGGATTTTATGGAATGACCCAAGGGTGCTTCATCCAGATGCCTGGGCAGCTCCTCCTGCAGGCACAGAGCCTCCGTGGCACTCCAGCCTCTGGATTTATCCTTTGGAGCTCAGCACACTCAGAGCTCTGGCACAGCTGGGTGTGTAAGCTCATCCTTCAGGGCAGAAATTGGGGTGTCTCTGTGGCTTCAGCCTCACCAGGTAAATGGAATGATTTTGTTACCAGGTCCACGGTTTTGAGAGGGTCTCAGATGTCAAAACCATGATTTATAGAGGGTCACCATTTCCATTTTTGCTCCAGGCTCTCTGGCAACTCTCCTGTTCACTGGAGTTGATTTGTTCAGTATGGGGGTTTTGGGGTAACTTGTGCTTTCTTATTGCACCTATTTGTGTCTGTCCTTTGCTGCTGACATTTGGTACCATGATAGCAAAGAATAACCTTTCATTTGTGTTGCGTTACTTGATGGCCTCTGATGCTTTTTTTTTTTTTTTTTGGATACAACATTGTACAGTTTTCATAGTATATATATAAATATATATAAATGTATTTTATTATTTTATAAAAAAATGGAAGTGGATGAGATTATGCTGAATGTGGAGGCTACACAAGGATTGTAGCTGCTGGGAAAAATGAGTAACTGGAAGAAATGAGTTAAGGGCTTGATCCAAAGGCCACTTGAACCCTGTGATGAGGCTGGTGGGCTCTGCCTTGGACCTTGTATCCTTCAGCATCAGAAGCTCCAGTAGAAGGCTGCAAGGGCCCAGATCCACTCACTGCAGAACATCTCCCAGCTGGAGCACTTGGACACAGAAGGGCTGGGAGCTTCCTGGAGTAGAGGGATGGGAACTGCACTGGGATTCCTCACACAGCTGATGTGGAGAGAGTGAGATTTTGGGACAGAGGATGTTGGGTATCTTTTAAAAGACTTTTTGCCCAGCAGCAACATCCATAAAGGGACTTGTGCTCCATCAGTAAACACAAAAGAAGAGCAGGCCTGGGAACAAGAGGCACTCCCAGCATCCTGAATGAGTCTGAGATTCCTTCAGCCCCAGCTTCAGCTCTCCTCACACAGGGCTGGGCTGAGCTGAGACCCTGCTGGGTTTCATGTCCCAGTGCTGGGCAGGATCCCTGGAGGCTCCCAGCCCTCTGCCAGGGAAAACAAGCAGACTCCCTGCAAGGTTTCCCTGGTGTGTTGCAGCTGCATGGGAGCAGGTGAGGAGCCTGCCTGAGCAGCAGCTGCCATGCTCTGGGTTAGAGCTTCCAACCAAAGCAGCAGCTGCTGGGGGCCTGGCAGCATCACCAGCCTGCTTTGATCTCACAATGAACCTTGGTTTTCTTTATTGCTTTTTTTATTTCTTTTTCCTTGTGGACTGTGAAACAAAGAGCTCACCACCAACAGTTCCAAGAGTTCCTCTCCTCTTCAAGCTTTTTGTTTCACTGGGGGAAAGGGCTGTACACCTTTCAGCCAAAGATGGATGTGGATGGATCAAGTCCACAGGACTCTCCACGACTGCAGATGGAGCTGGGTCAGTTTTGAACTTGGCTCAAGGGATCCTTCACCAACCCTGAGGTTTTACTGTGCCTTCAAGAAGCACTTCTTTCTCCTGAGCAAGTGCCAGTGGCACGAGGCTGCCTCCTTCCCTGCTCCCATCTTGCCTGGGGTTGGGATTTTCTCTCCTCCTGCTCAAGGATTCTGTGACCCTTTCCCTGGGCTTTGTGGCCCAGGGTCAAACACTGAGAACTGCCTAAACAGGGACTTTCCCAAGCATTTTAACCAAAGATGCTCCTGTTCTCCAAGAGCAGAGCATGGCCCATCAGCTGCTCTCCAGGGAATCGGGCTTTCCCCACGCACATGCACTAACCCAGGCCTGTCTTTTTAAATTTCATCTGGTTGTTGGAGCTGGTGCTGTTTCAGCCTTTCCAAGATGGATCCAGAGCAGGTCTTTGATCAGATGGCTTCCTCTTGCACTTAATAAATATTTTCTCTATATTCTGACTCTTTATTATTATTTATTATTTATTATTTTTTGTTTGTTTGGCTGGGTTTTGTGGTTTGGTTTCTTTTTGGGGGGGTTGGTTTTGGGTTTTTTTTTGTAAAATAAAAAAATCCCTCCCCCACCCCTGCTATCCTCCCTCTGCAGCAGATGCAGGGCAGGGCCCACAGGCAGATTCCCAAGCAGGAACTTCTGCCACATGTCAGTGCCTGCTGCTCCTGCTCTGCCATCCCCTCCTGTGACTGCAGCTCTGCTGGACTCCACAGCTCTGATAATGGCTCCTTACACCAGTGCAAACTGGAGTTAAACCAGTGTCCTCTGAGGAACAGGCCCAAGTGATTTTGGCCCACACGGGTACAGAACAACTGTGCAAATATTTTGCTTTTATTAGGCAAATGATGCAGCTGGACAAACTAATCCCCTTGGGAAAGCCTTGAGGAGGGAGGCAATGGAGCCCAAGGTTCCCAGGGTAGGTGGTCACTCCTCTACAGGGGCAGAGCCTTTGCCCCTCCCGAGGGCTTGGTGAGGTAGAAGGTGGCTGTGCCACTGTATTTCTCCTGAAAAACAAGAGGAGCAGTCGAGGCTGGGCTTCTGGGGCTGGGGGATGCCAGAGGAAAGGCCCTGCTGGGCAGTTCCACACTCACTCTACCTCCACTCTTCACTGTAACTCCTGGTCATGTTTCCTCTTTCCCACCTCTGGCAGAAGCCAAAGGTCTCTCCTCATTTCAGACCCTCCTCTGCCCCTTCTTCCCCCTTCCCCAGCCATTTATAGGGTGCACCATGATCTCATAGAGCAGCAAAATGATGCTCTCAGGCCCCATGTCCTGACACCTCCATTCTGCTGGCATTTCCAGCTACCTGTGCTGAGTTAGGGAATACTGGTGCTGGCACTGAGATCTTTCCTGGGCTATAACTGCCAGTGTTCAGCTCAGGAGTACCCAAGCTCAGCTCACATCACATTTCTGTGAGTGGATTTGGCCCTCCTGAAGCTCGCTCAGCACCTTTTCACTCCCTTTCTCAATGCAACGAGGTCCTGTGGCAGGGCTCAGTGACTGGCACTGGACTGAACTGCCTGCAAGAGCAACAGTTCAAGAGTGTCCCTGTGCTGTGCTCCGAGTGTTCCCTTGGGATCTTTCAGAGTCTCCTGGGGCTTTCCTGCCACCTACCTGGATGTGCTGCTGGGCTCTGTCTGCAGCCCCAGCTTCCAGCAGTGTCACCGTGCAGCCTCCAAAGCCTCCCCCAGTCATCCTGCTGCCATAAACCCCATCAACTTCCAGGGCTGCTGCCACCAGCTCGTCCAGCTCTGGGCAGCTCACTTCATAGTCATCCCTGGAAAGAGGAGAGCCGTGCTCTGCCCTGTCCTGCACCCTGGGCACAGCCACTGCACCACAGACAGCTCCAGCTCATGTCCTGGTGCAGCCACCGCCGTGGCAGCGATGCTGGGTGCTGCACAACCAGCCCAGCTCTGCCTAGAAGGGCTGTCAGCATCCTTGGTCCTCCTCACCTGAGGGAGTTGTGGCTCTCCACCATCAGCCTCCCGAACGTTCTGTAGTCCCTGTGCTGCAGTGCCTGTGCTGCCTGTGCTGTCCGTGCTATCTCGCCGATGACGTGCCTGGCCCGCCGGAACACCTCATCCCCCAGCCGGCTCCTGGCCTCTGCAGAGACGTTTGTGCCCCTGCAGCAAAGCCTCACAGCCTGCAGGGTGCTGCAGGGCTGCATCCTGCAACCATCCTGTGCCAAAGCTTCTCTGCCTGCAGCACACTCCCATCACGGGCTGTGCGCCCACCCGCCTGCCCCAGGTCTCAGCCCACGGGGCACCGAGCTCTTGCTGCCCCAAGGAGTGAGCAGAGATGGGGCAGGGGGGCTGTGCCCACCTTCCAGCTCGGCCAGGGTGGCATCCCTGAGGCTGGCCTTGCCGAGAGCCGCCGCTGCCTCCTCGCACTGCCGCCGGCGCGCGGGGTACTCGCTGCCCGTCAGCGCGTGCCGCACGTTGGAGTTGGTGATGAGCACGGCCAGGCTGGCATCGCTCAGCGGGACCAGCACGGTCTCCAGGGACCTGCAGGGACAGCTCAGCCGAGTGCCCGCCCCGGCTCTCAGACACCTGAGCGAGGCCACGTGGCAGGCAGATCCTGAACTACAGAGGCAAAGTCCAGGTGGTTTGGGATTTCACTCAAGCGTTTCATTCCCTCCAAATATTCGTTCCATAATAAACCCTAACGACCGCAGCCCAGGCAAGTAGCAGAAAGGTTGCAGGAGGAGGAATCAAGACCAGGAAGAATTAAAGTGCAGGCTGCCCTGCCCCCATGACAAGGTTTTGGGCTGGGTTCAAGGGCTAACCTCTCCCTGTGCTCCTGCCCTTAGTTCAGGGCCACAGGGCCAGCCCATCCCCAGCTGCTCAAGGAGCTCAGTGCTCGACCCTGACCTGCAGTCGATGAGCAGCGCGTGGCCCTCCTGGCCCATCACGGATATGAACTGGTCCATGATCCCACAGGGCATCCCAGCAAACGTGTGCTCAGCTTTCTGGCACGCCAGTGCCTTGGCTACCAGATCCCCATCGTCTGTGCCACAGCAGAGACACACAGGTTAGCAGCTCCTGCAACTTTGGCCTTGCCTGAGAGCAGGGGAAGCAAATATGGAGGTAAAGGGTGGTTTTCCCATGGAATGGGGTTTTGCAGCTGCAGGTGCTTGCTACTGCACCACTGCATGGCATCTATGCCAGCCTGGGCCCCCAGATCCAGCTGGATGTGATAATTGACACTGGTGTTTCAGGTATCTTGATTTCTGGTGCCATTAGGGTGGGGAGAGGATGCTCCTAAAGGAACTTCCTCTCATCCCCCTGGCCAACCCCAGGAGTGGTCCATGGATTTTAGAGGTCTGGGCAGGTCAGGCTGGATGAGCCAGAGGAGCCACACAGGCAGGGCAGTGCCAGCTGGGGAGTTGTTAACCCGCTCACAGCAGCATTTTGCCAAGGGCTGTGGGATCTAGCTAAGGGCACCCCTGTCATCCCAGCTCCCACCTGGAAACATGCCAGGGCCCAGGATGGGCTGCTGCCTTACCAGGGCACAGCTGCTGCAGGAAGGTGTATGTAGCCACCTCCAGAGCAGCCGAGCTGGAGAGGCCCCCACCCAGGGGGATGTCACTGGCCATGACAGCGCTGAAGCCTGGCACGGGACCACCTGCAGGACGAGAAAAAAGAAGGGAGAAGGGGGGGCCGTGAGCCCCTGCAGGGCTGTGTGTGCCCCACAGCTCACAGGGAATGGCACAAGGAGCCCCTGTGCAACATTCCAGAACACAGGGTGACCCACAGCAGTGTCACCCTGCAGCCCCCCAAGCACAGGAACCTTTGGAGTTGAGAATGAGTTTGCTGGAGCCTGATCCTGGATTACACAGACACTAGAAGAGCCCCTGGAACACTCCCAAAGGTGGATCTGAGCACCAGTTCCCTGCAAGGGGGGCTCTGACCCACCCCTCAGCCCGGGCCTTACCCCGGTAGTGCTGGATGACGCCCTTGACGTAGTTGGCCCAGCGAGGCAGCCCCGGGCTCAGGGAGCTGCCGGCACGGGGAGCCAGGAACTGCACCCTGCGGGGCTCGTCCGCCTCTGCCGAGGTGGTGACGATGGAGATGGTCCCGTCCTGCGTCGGGGATCCCACCAGCACCGTCCCCAGCTGCAGGGCCTGGGGTGGGGAAGGTGGGCTCAGACCCTGCAGCACCCCTTGGAGCATCCCCAGGGGTGGCAGGTGACAGCTGTGGCTGCTTCAGCCCACAGCTGGAGCAACCAAATGTTCTCTTTACCACCCCAGAGCTCCCAATGCACACTGCAGCTTGGCACAGAATTAAATTTCCTGCCTATTTACTGACCTACAGGGTCAGTCTTCCCACCAAATGTTGTGCCTGACCCGCCAGCTGGGTGCTGGGTGCTGCTTGTTATGCTCTGGGGAGTGGTAACCATGTCAAGAAAGGGAGAGGCTTCGAGAAGTTTCCTTGCCTGCCAGGGAATTCAGCTGACCTGCTCCCACTCTCCTTGGTCTCACAGTAATTTGATTTAGGACTGAGTGGGGACTTCACTGCTGAGCCAAAGCGGCTCAGAAGGTGCAGGAAGCTCCTGCTGTTCTGAACCATCTCTGCCACCAAAACATCATTCTCTGGGAACGGGAAGTTGTTTGCCGGGGCTGCAGAAAGAAGGCTTCAGCCTCTCGGAGAGGTGGTTGGGAAGAGAATCACAACCCCGCGAAGCGAGCGAGGAGCTGGTGAGCAGGGGAGGCTGCAGCAGCTCCGGCTCCGATCCCCGCGCTCCTGGGCAGGGAATCCTGGAGGATCGCTCAGGGTCCTGCCGGGCTATCCCGGAGGGGACATCCCGGCACGGGGGTGGCAAGGCGGTGGCCGAGGGCCCCCGGCGGCTGCCAGGAGGAGCCGGAAGGGTGACACGGCCAGAGCCCGGGGCCAGGGCGGCAGAGCACGGCCCTTACCATGGGCAGCACGAAGCCGCCGTTGTAGTCGGTGTGCTCTCCGATGAGGTTGACCCGGCCGGGGGCCCACGCCGCCAGCACCGGCGCTTTCCCGAAAGCCGCTTCGTGCGCCCGGCGAGCGGCGGCCAGCAGCGGGGCCGGAGCGGGACCCAGCGGCTCCGCCATGGCCCAGCTGCGCCGCCCCCGATGGTCCCGCACCGCCCCCGATGG